GACTTTGAAAGTCAACATCAGAACCTTGAACTTGATCCGGGTCCTCAATCTGGAGCCAGTGCAGCTGACAAAGCACTGATTGGATATGCACTCTAAAGCATGCAGCAGCATTCTGGACCAGTTGCATTTTCCAGGTCAGTCTCAAGGGAAGTCCTATGTAGAGCGAGTTACAGTGATCCAGCCTGGAGGTGAAAGTTGGTGGATTCAAGGTGAGTGTATATTATGCAATACAAGATTATATAATAACTTGGATTGTTCAAATGGGAGGTAATGGTTACCTGCACTGGAGCCCGTTTAGTGTACGTCCCTTTGTATAACATTGCATGTGTTACCATCTTTCCGTATCCACAATCTTTCCTCTTCATAAATACACATATTAATTGCAATAACGTACCCAGTTACATATTTAAAATTACCACTGGTTTTATGAGACTTACCTCAGATATTAATTGTCTGTGTATTTCAGCTGGATTGGTATAACTCTAAAATTTAAAGTTTAACTAATGTTCATTGTGTGTTTCCTGTGGTATATGTCTCGCTTGAACCATCTGAAGCTATTTTGTTTTGCAGAAAGCTTTTTTGCTGACTGTAGCAGTCTAGGGTCTTGCTTGCATAGGCAGATTGGTGGCAGGATTTAGATAGTTTTAGATAAGGAGAGTCAGATGTCAAGTGCTTTGGGGGATCTTTGTTGGATCACACCTTGCAAACTGCAAGGACTTAACAAAACATGGGGTAAGGCCCACCAGGGAACAATGAGAACATTGTTAGTCAAGGCTGGGAAGCTAATCTGATTGCAGTACCCAGAACAAGGGAAAAGGAGAGTCAGAATTCGGTTGGAGCTCAAGGTTAGAATCTATACATAGAAGCATGGACAGAAGCATGGGCAGAGAGGTGTGCCGGGGGGGGGAGCACTAAATGGGATCACGAATGCATGGGTAGGTAGACTGTTGGTCATGGAAGTATGTGTGCTTTACCTAGAAGCTTTTAACTCCTTGAGAGTAACCAGCATCCAGAAGATTTGCAAGTGGTGGTGGTTCACTCAAGTAAACAGCTCCTGGAGTCAATTATGCTTATTCAATACCCCAAATAGCTGGCAGATCCTAGATGGCCTTCTGATTCCTATTGACTTCTTTAATTATAACATACTCTGAAAAAATATTAGTAATGTACATATTTATCCCATTTGGATGTGACCAGTGTTCATGAACTTATTACAACTTAGTAGCTTGTGTTGCAACCTGCCTGATTCAAGCAATTTGTTATGTGTTTTTATGATGCTGATGTTCTGGCAATGGGGAAAGTTCTACAGAGTGAATGCTGTTGACCAAATGAGTACTTGCTTGTTTGTCAGTAAATACCTTGGAAAACAGAAAAGGAGAGGGTTTTATATTGTGCAAATGTATGCTTACTGTTTATTCCTAAAGCAATTGTATAGAATATGCGAGGCGATCTTATATGAGCTCTTAAACATCATCTGTAGGAGTATAATAATATAGGAGTGTAATAATCATGGATCAGTGCCAAGAATCAACTTCTTTCAATACTTCCACTGGTATGTGGCATATACATCTGTGACAAGTGACATTACAGAAGGTCATGTCACTTTTAACTGCTTGCATTAGAGCTTTTTGATTTCCCCAGTGCCTTTCCTTTGTTTGATTAATACTGCTTGATTTCAAGCAAGGTTGAAGACAGCTAAATTTAAAGGGAGTATGCTAATGAAAATTTATGCATTTTTCTCTGTAAACCTTCAGTAAAACATTTTCCTAATGTTTACAGTTTTGATGTGTGTATTTCTTTTCAGTTTATTTTAAATGTATGTTGTCCTGTCCTTAAAGCTAAAAGCAGGTAACAATAGATTCAGGTGGGTAGCCATGTTGCTCTGAAGCAAAACAAACTTTGAGTTCAGAGGCATCTTTAAGACCACCAAGGTTTAATTCAATGTATGAGCTTTCGTGTGCATGCACATTTCCTCAGACACAATTAAATGGAATTTACCGGTCCAGGGTGGGCAGTAAATTAGCATGCAACATAATGAAGATACTTATCAGATTCAGGAATAGCAAGCTTAGTTTATATGGTACCATTTAACATAATTAAGATGTTTTAAAAGATGCAAAGTCCAAACAAGAATAACAAGCTAAGTCCACATGGTTACCGTTTGTCATTATCTTGGCTGTGCCATCAGAGGCCTACTAGGCCCAGGGAGTCTGGCTAGCAGTAGGGGAGGCTGGGCCTACAAACCCCAGAAGGCCTTGGAAGTTTCGGCACCGATTTTGACCAATAAGGAAGAAGAGGGTTGAGGAATAAAAGAACTGGTACAAGAGGAGAAGCTGTTCTTCTAAGAGGGCAGAGTCAGAGGGAAGGCTGCTGCAGCGAAAAGACCCTCATCCTGAGAGGAAGGGTGAGCAGACTGAGGCCCACTTGAGATAGTGAGCTAGGCACAGTATATATTTAGATGCATTAGGGCTTTTGATTTCTTTTCATCCACTTACTGTTATTATTCCTGCACCTTGTTTGTTTGACCTCCTATAAAATAAACCTTTTCCTTGTTGTTACTCTGACTGGTCCTCACACCTTTTATTAGGCTAAAAGGGAGGTCTGAAGGTCTTGGGAGGGTGCTCTGGGCCTTCTCAAGGGATCCTAAATCCAGAGTGGTGGCAGTGTCAGGTGATACCCCACCTGAGCTGTGACACCATTTGTTTGGATTCAGTTCTGGGGGGGGGGGTGGACACAGAGCGAATAAATATGTCAAAATTGGAGAGTGCTGTATCCTTCTTAATTGTGAAGTGCTAAGAGTGATTAACTGAGATCCTGTTGTTACGCTCCATATGTCTCCTCTCAAGCATGGAGGTAACAGTGTTCATCAAATAATAACCAAAATAGATCATGTGTAAAAATATAAATTTTAAATTAAAATACTTAGGGTGGACATTAACTTGTCTTCCCTTTAAAGGACATAATATTTATCCGGCCTTCCTTATGGTCCAACTCTCACAGCCATACATTACTATTGGGAATACCATCACTTTGACTATACGGACTTTTGTTGGCCGGTTTTTATTATGCTGTCTAGGTTTGCCATAGCTTTCCTCCCAAAGAACAGGCGTCTTTTAATTTCATGGCTGCAGTCGCCATCTGCAGTATTCTTGGATCCCAGGAATGTGAATTCTGTCACTGCTTCCATAACTTCCCCCGTATATTTGCCAAGGAGTGATGGGGCCAGATGCCATGAACTTAGTTTAGGTTTTTTTTGATGTTGAGTTTCAAGCCAACTTTTGCTATATAGGGTTTCTTAAACTAGTAGTTCATTATGAACTTTTTTGAGCCCACAGTAAAGGGGAATGCTCATAGCCTGTTCCAGTTTGGTGTGGTGGTTAAGAGCGTGGACTCTAATCTGGGCGAACCGGGTTTGATTCCCCACTCATCTTCTCTGTTTTGTATGTTCAGGGGGGGAAACCCTTCACTTTCCTTTACAAGTGACTAAATGCATGTTAACCTCCCTTCCTGTTGCATCTAGTGTGACCCTAATATTAATTATTAATATTTATTTCAAATGTGTAGAAATAGCATGTGGTGAAGCTTTTTCTGAACTGTACACCTTCAGGTGAGGAATGATATGTTTGACTATTTTTTGAGTGAATGTGTGTTTTATCCAAGGTTTCCATGCATAGGGCATATTTTAATTTGTCATTAAGATGTGATCTTCTACTTCAAGCCTGAAGATATACTATGATATATGACTGTAAAACATTGATCTAATCATAATAATACTGGAAATAACCAATGTATTACCAACATGTGAGACAATCCAAATGTAAAGTGCTGGATAAGCTCAATAAACGAAAGCTCCGCCTAGAAAAGACTGAAGTGCTCTTGAATGATAGTGCCAATCAAGGAGTGAAGTGTTAATTTGTGCTACAAAGGTTTGCACTCCCCTTGAAAGAATAGCCTTGCAACTTGGAGAACTACCCCTTCAGATGAGCAGGTGATCTCTTTGGCATGTGGTATCCCTTTTTTGAAAAACCAAATTTACCGTTATCTGTGTTCTGATCACATCCAGAATAGTTCCTTGAAATATGCTTTTCATGGGGATGCCTCTGAAGACTGCTGAGATACTTCAGCTAATACAAATGCTGGTATAACGCAGTGTTCAAGACAACTCTGCTTTCTCGGTAACATGTTGATATTAAAAGAGCTACATTGTTTCCCAGCACAGGTCAAAGCCGTAAGTGGACTGGGATCAGGCTATCATAAAGACTGCCTTCTCCCTTATGAACCTGCTTGGCCACTCAGATATGCATCAGAGATCCTGTTGGGTATGCTCCATTCTCAGATGTAGGTGATAAAGATGAAAAGGGTCTTTTGAGGAGACATAACTGGGCAGTGAAATGCCTCCCTGATGTTATTGTTCTCCTGTTGCTTATTCTTTTGAGTTTCAGGCTCACAGTAGTCATTTTCATTCTTTCAGGAGTTTGGGTTTGTGCTTTTTTACAGCTCATAATATTTCACCATCAGGCTGCTCTTAATTACTTATATATCAAAGTAGGGGGTTCTTAGGTTTATTCCTTAAATGCTTTATACGGGTCTATACTACTGTGTATTATTCATATTGCCTTTTGTGGTAAGTTGGATCCTACTATGAATTTTTTGCATTGCTTAACACATTGTTTGCTTTGCTTCTAATCTAGTTTCAGATTTCTGGTTGGTTCCAGATTTCTAGAATCCAAATCTTGTTTATTCAGTGTCCCATGCAGTTGATTGTATTGATTCACACTGTGTAATTCACCTTGACTCCCAGAGAGAAGGGTGAATTATAAATAAAAATAAATAAGTAATTTGGAATCCAAGTGTTAAATTTGCTCTTGGCTGTTAATTTCCCCTCTTTGTGTTTTATTACAATTGTCTAATAAAGTTTTCAACTATAAAAGACTTAATGATTTGACAGAGCAAAACTTTTGCTTGTTGACTCATGACAACTACTACTGTTTTGTCTGCAGGTAGTGGAGGACATGTTAGAGGACGAGGAAGAAGAGGATGACAGAGATGACAAGGTAATTATCTTTCCTAGCACTTGGGTACCTGGGGATGAGAGAATTTAGACATGACACTGTTCTTGCAGACAGTTAAAAAGGAGCTGAAGTGTTTTTAGTCCAGAAAATTGGACAGAGCTGTTTATCATCCTAACAATGCAAGTGTATGTTGTAGGAAGGGAGAGAGGACTATAAATCCTCTTCTTTTTCTTCTTCTTTTTTTGTCCAGAGCTGGGTCAATTTTTTCCCCCTGCCAGGAACAAAAATAATTCAGCTTGTCTGGAACTTGATAGCTGTTGTGAAGATAACTGCAGTGACAACTGTTTTTGAAGGACAAAAATTTGTCCTGTCTTGAGTATTACAAATAGGGCTGTACTTAGAGGTAGAAATGTTGTAAAAATAGAAACTTCATACTGTTTGAAGGTTGCCGATTGCCATCTATAATTTTCTATGAATTACTTGGCAGAAGAATGTATGTGTGTTACACTCTGTATGATATTTAAATAATCACAATTCTCATAGGTCTCTTACGGATGGATTTGGGATTGGTATTGTGTGGCCCAGCATCAAGGTACTATGGTCACTCTTTCAGCTCTTCAGAATCTTGCTCAGTTCCTAGGTTGCTGGTTGGGTTTAGGATTCCCACCTCAGTAAATAACAGCTAGTTTATACAAGTTATTGAAGCAAGCAATAGGACTGCATGGTTGTCCCTAGAGGGGCAGAAAGAGACACAGAGAGAAATTGGAATGACCTTGTAAGAGTGAAGCAATGGCACTAGTTGGCAGAATGGTTTGTGTGAAATACAAGCAGAGTTTGAGAAATCGTTTTTTAAAAGAAAAAAATTAAATGTGAGGAGTGTGAGAGTGAGGTATTCAGATTCTTTTAAAGCTCATATTAAATACAGAAAACGTTGACCTTCACAAATGTTCTTGTACTTCTGTTGTAATAAAGCATTGACTTTTTTGAAAGCAAGAAAAAATGTAGCTTAATTTATGCCCTTGACCTTTGTTGCTAGTAGAGATGTACAATTCTACACCACTATAAGAATCTGTAGGTTGGCAGCAAACATTTAAAATGTCAAATATTCCTTACTATTAGTTAATTCTTTCAACAATTAAGATATGCATTTAGAAAGATGAAAGTCTGAATATTTCCTTATTATCTTACATTCATGAGACAGATAATGTTACATTTTTGCACACATTTAAATCACTTTGCTACAAGTCATGATCATGAAGTAGTACAACTGCTAAATTTCCTTTGTGCGAAGCTATATGTGTTCTTTTTCAGTTGCAGGGCTCTCTTTGTAGCAGGAGCTCCTTTGCATATTAGGCGACACATCTGTAATGTAGCCAATCCTCCAAGAGCTTACAGAGCTCTTCTTACAAGGGCTACTGTAAGCTCTTGGAGGGTTGGCTACATTAGGGGTGTGTCGCCTAATATGCAAAGGAGTTCCTGATACAAAAAGAGCCCTAATACATATATATCATATGATGCATATATATCCAGAAAAATGCTAATAGTTGTTATCTCTTCATAATGTACATGTTTAATGCTTCTAATTTACCCTAGTTTAAATAAATCCTAGCTAGGTACTACTTTCCCCATTCTGAGATTACTAAATAATCAATATATCTTCTTTACTGTGTGTGTAAAGTACATGAGAAACAAAGCATAGTAAGGTAAAAATAATACCAAGTATTTTGTACTGTATCAATATTTGGCAGTCATAATCCAGCATCCTGGTTCCAAAGCCAAATGTGTTTGCTTAAATGATTATCTGAATTTGGGGCTGTTTTTTCATTATTTAAGAAGCATGTGGGCTTAAATTTTCATAATTAATTACAATTTGTGTGTCAATATATGTTATGTGGTGGGAGAAGAATTTGTACAGGATTCTTCTGCCATACATGTAGGCCTACATAGAGTGGACACTGCATTTTAGATTAGTACCTTTACATTCAGAAAATATTAATGTATTTTATTCTTCTTTGCCTCCTTCTAGAGTATACTTATGTGGATGATTAAGTTCCTCATTTTAAGTGTGTGCGTAATGCAATTTTGAGGGAAAACAAATGTAAATTCTGCAGTGCTGATTGATGCTGACCTCTAGCTCTCATTACTTTTCTGTTTTCTCATTTGGTGAAATAGCAAAGTGAGGTCAGTGGGTCCTCTTATAGAATAAAAGTCAAAAGATTAATAAATGTGCCAAAGCCTCACTTTAATTGAACCTGAAGCATATGTTACAGGCATATAAAATATGTCCCAGATGTTTGACCATGCCATGTAACTTAGTTTTCCCCGATTACCACAAGGCAACTATTAGTCCAATAACCTTTGGACTTGGGGGTAAATGGGGTATTACATGGCAGACAACTAAAGCACCTGTTTTCCATTCAATAAAGACCTCTGGCAGGCTTTGCCTAAGCTGCACCATATGTTTTCACTTAGCAGATTGTTGGGTGATTATGAAAAGTGTCTTTCCTTAGAACCGGTGTAGATATTAGTCACTTGCTCAAAATGAATGGATAACTCATTGGCTATGTCTACAAAGCCTGTGTGGGCATTTGCTGAAGTAGGTTTTTAGATGGGTAGAATGTACTTGCCTGGCGTGATCTGGTCCATGGGGTCACAAAGAGTGGGACTCGACTGTGTGACTGAACAACAACAACAGAATGTTCTTGTTTTTCTGGGTAGTCCCAAATAAACTGCAGGATCGTAAGCAGAATGATTAATTGTTCCATAATATATTTTTATTAGTGATGTCTTCTACTTGTACCTATGAGGAGCCTTTGTTAAGGCTGGTGAAGTATAGCTCCAATTAAATTCTTGCTCTCTCAGATATTGCTTTAATATTAATCATGTTACATTGTTCAGACTTGCTCTTCAGATGATATAAAGTCATTTGCTACATAAAACTCTCTCAGTGCATGACAAGAACATTTGTTTTTTGTAAAAATAATGGCATTTATAGTCAGATTTGCTGCTGTCTTGTTTATAATATATGAGAGACTGCAACCAAAAATTTAAATTCTTAGTTCAGCTCTGTATATAAAATTCACCCTTACTGGCTCCAATCCTCCAGCTTCTAAAACTCAATTTGTAAAAGAAAACTATGGCCTTTCTGTCATTTATTTTGCACCGTATTGCTCCAACAGAATTGTGTTTTGTTCAGGTTTGATGACCCTGTTGTGAACCTGACTCTTAATCCCTAGAAGGGAAATTCTGAGCCTTAAGGAAGGCTAAAGCTGTTGAGCTCTTATTCTTCCCGAACTCTAATACCTCTTTGCACAGTCCTTAAAACTTTTTTTAGCATGAATTTGTTACTTTTCTACTTTTTAGTTCAAAAGGGACTGTTCTGTAAAATATGAATTTTTAAAATTTATTTACTTCATTTATAGCTGCCTTTTTGCTGAGGCTCAAGGCAGATAACAACTAAAAACAATGCCGTAAGAACAGTACAATACATAGAACCAACAAAATAAGAGAATGTACTAATACCGACAATAAAGCAGCATTACAAAATTTGAGAACAATGCAATGAGACCTTATTATACACAACAGAGTAATAAAGCTGGATTACAAACTTAAAGGACGATGTCAACAAAAGCCACAGCATAATATACAAAATGAAAACTATCTTAAACTCCACAGACCTTAACTATGGCCTGTAGGGTTGCCAGGTCTGGGTTGGAAAATACCTGGAAACTTTGGGGGTGGATCCAGGAGAGGGTGCGGTTTGGGGAGGGGAGGGGCCTCAGTATGGTACAATGCCATAGATTCCAGCCTCCAAAGCAGCCCTTTTTTCCAGGGAAATTGATCTCTGTCAGTTTTAAAAGCAGGAGATCTCCTGGCCCCACCTATTCACCCTATACAGCCTTATTCACTTTATACAAATGCTCTCTGGAATAGTTCTGTTTCACACATTCTTCAGAATACTAACAATGTGGAGGCCATCCCACCAGGAGGGAGCACGATAGAAAATGCTTGATTTCAGGCAGTTGTTGATTTTCCCCATTTGCAGGGTAGCACATGCAGTCAGGAAGCTTTGCTTTCACACTAGGAACAAATGAGGGATGTCATCACTTCAGTGTTCTCCATAGAACCAGCTCAACAAACAAAAGTTCATCCCAAAATTTGGCTGCATTTGGATGCAGTTCGTAGCAGTTTGTGAAGAGCAGAAAGCAGGGATTTAAAGGGCTCTGAACCAATGTTCCCTCTAAGCTGTGGAGTTCTATGAGCAAAAATCCTTCTTTGTGAGCTACTGGTATTAAAACTGTGAGCAAACGATCTGGCTGCTGCAGAAATTAGTTTGCTCTGGAGCTCAGACCAAAATCTGTGAGCCAGAGGCTAAGAAAATGTGAGCTAGCTCACACTAACTCAGCTTAGAGGGAACACTGCTCTGAACCATTTAAACCCCTGCTTTCTGCTTTTCACAAAAAACAGCTGAACAGCAGGGAGCAGAAAGCAGGGAGTTAAATGGCTCTGAGCCAGTGAAACCCCTGCTTTCTGCTCCCTGCTGCTCAGCTGTTTAGTTTAAATGGCTTGGAGCCAATTAACCCTCTGCTTTCTGCTCACTGCCAAAGTGGTGGAGAGCAGAAAGTGTGTGTGTGTGTGTGTGTGTGTGTGTGTGTGTGTGGAATGGCTCTGAGCTTTTAGCAGGGAGCAGAAAGCTCACAAACTGATAAGGTTGCAGTTGAAAGTTAGAGGTGGGCAAAGTTTCACAGCCTAATTCAGAATGGTGTTCCCTAAAATTACATAATTAGAGCTGGATTGAGATTGGGGTTAGTACTATAATTTTTAAACCTGGGCCAACTCTGAGTTCCAAGTCTCATTAAGATCATCAGAAAAAACTGGTTGGAAGTCTCTACAAGGCACTTAAATACTCTTCAGTTCACCATACTATGGAATATAAGGAGTTACATCTAGTGCAGAATTTCTACTTGTGCTAGAGCTCATACGCAAAGGGAAACTCATGAAAAAGATGGTGGTAGCTGCTTGTGCTAAGTCAAACTCTATTG